GATATATCCCGACGGACCAGCAGTGTAGTTTTTCTCCTTATAAAATCTCCAACCTGTAAATATCAAAAGAAGTCTTTATTTGGAACGTTATACTTTTTAATTAGCTGCTTGAATGACATTAGAGCAGAACCTTCCATTAAATCTTGTAATTTAAATATTCCTTTGTCAGCCCAATTTTTATAACTGTTATCCATTATTCCAGGTAAGAAATCTGAGTTATTGCAAATTGGGGTAAAAACTGAGGTTGTTCGTAATCTACCTTCTAATTTCCTGATTGCCCGCCARCCCATGATTGTGGATATAGTAATTGGGTTTTTACAAACTGATTGAAAAGATTTTATCTTCCTTACAAAAAGTAAGGATGTTAATGGGCATTCGCACACAGAACTATCATGTTAAGTTTTAAATATGTCTTTTAGAAACATCTGATTCGATGGATGCAAATAAATGCACCAAACTGCATATGGTAAATTAAACATGATACTAATTGGTCCATTTGTGCACTACAGTGGATTCCAAGGAATTTGAGTCTTTAAATCAGAGTGTGAACATCCAACATAACATATTTATAAAAGTGTACAATCAATTAATGTGATTTGTTGTAAAATAAAAAAGGTAAAATGCATGAAAATGACTTATATAAGGTAATTTTTTTAAGTTTTGCACTTTTCTTTAAACTACTAATCAACTAAAAAACTTTAACTTTAAGTATTAATAATTTCTGTGAAGAAGATCTCTAATTTGTCACATTCGTTCACTTTTCATGTTTAATTGAGATAATGACAAAATATATAAAACATGCAGGCACACTTGAACCTCTTCTAAAACACCAAGAAAGTTGTTTGAGACAATTTCAAACCTTAATTTCTAAAACCCCTTTAAAAGTGATTTATATCATTAATTTACAACTGGCTACTAATGAGAATTGCTAAATGATTCGTTAATATTGAGAAAATTAAGAAAACAGTAGCTGTGTTTTGTCTGCTGGATAAAAGGGAAGTCCTAGATTTAATGGTCACTGTGGTAATGATGCAACCACAGGCTAATCTAAACCAGTGGGTAGCCTAATAGCTAAATAAACACAACAAATCAGTCTGCAAGAGATGTGAACAGAAAAGAATAGACTAAAGCTTGTGTTTGCTGGACACGTCCTTCACATTTCAGTGTGCACACATTTGTTACTCTCAGTATAAACACAGGGACATTGTGTTCAGACTACAACACTTTATTACTAACATGATGGACAGCTCCAACGCAGACTTTTGGGGGGCTAACTAGCGAGCTAACATAATATTCCGCTTTCATTTACCCTTTAAAAAAACACTGCGAATATAAAACAAGAACGCACAAGGCAAATCAATAAGACGAACGCATTACCGGCAGTAGAGGGCTTATTCCACCTGGACCATACATTTCGAGACCTCCTAAACATCATCGCAGCCATGCTCTCCTCTTGACCTCGGTGTACGGTGACAGGCTGTCAAGCCAGACAAGCCAAACAGAGCGTTATGATTGACTGCTCTTTGAACCAATCGCATTACGGGGTGAATTAGCTAGCCCAATAGGAGTGAAGAAAAGGCGGGATATCCTGTGATTTCACCTTAAAACGCCTCTTAGCTTACATTTTCAGTATTTTTATCCACTCTAAATAAAAGCACACAGTAAAGTAAGTTATGTTAGTAAGAATAAAGACTATCTTTCAGTGTTTTGTCTGAGCATAAGTAACGCAGAGTTACCATCTGAATGATATTAGAGGAAGATGCACTATTTTGTTGAAACGAATTAACAGCAGCAATCAGTTTTAATGTATTTTTTTTGTCCGACTTCGATACATTTTAGAGTCGCAAAGACGTTTTTTGTTGTTGCCGTCATTAGAGCATCATCAGTGGTACTGCTCAGCATCCCGGAAGTTCAGCATCATTTTTTTTTTCCTCAGGAGGAAGAAGATACGCATTACCGTCAGAGCTTTGAGACGTTCAGGGAAATAAACATCGACATACCAGGAAGAAACACGCTATTCTTCGCTTGTGGCGATGACTTGAAAGGGTAATAATTTATTCTACGCTACATTGTCTGTCGTTTTGTATGATTTCGTGTTCTAACGAGCTCGTAGCCCTGCCTAAATGATGGTTAGCTAGCTAGTGACATGACACACCATGGCCTGTTCACATGCTAATATTAGCTCCTTTAGCCTCCTTTAATAAGATAAACCTCAGGGCAAACCTGGCTACAAGCGACAGGGAAGTAGCTTAGCTTCTTTGTTGCATATTTACCATGAGCTTGATTTATGTCGATAAGTATGCAATTATAACTCAGAAATATTCCCTTTTTCTCTTTGAACCTGGAGTTGAGTCATACTGATAAYGAAATCAGTGTGGGTTTGTGGTTTTACCTTCGTGCTCATTCAGGGAAATACTGTAAAGAGTTGCACATACCTTTCTATTTTAGCTGTTGTTTCAAAGATGSTTACTTACTGTAGATCTTAAATGTTTGTGAACCTCTGAATGTAACTTCTCAAATTTAACTTCAAATAAATAGCTTTTAAGATTTTGCCAAAAATCTGAAATGTTAAGAGGTTCACATGTTTTGTTCCATAATTGTAGAATCACTTGGGTATTAATTAGCATAGTTTTTGTTTGTATACTTTAGCCRTGTGGACATAAATCAATTAAAATTAATATAGCTGTTCTCCTTCCACAGGGTGTCACAGTTTTTGTTTATTTTAATTTTTTTTTTGTCATCATGAAGTCATCTTTTTTGGCCTGACTGAGCTCCYTCAAAGCCACAGAGGACTAATTGCTCTGCAGTTTTCACTTTTAAGGTATTGTTTTTAAATCTTTTTACTGACTGTGATGAGTGAGTTGTCTTTGACAAGCAATATTATAAAAAATAACTCCMTAAAAGTCCAGGTTTAGTGTTCATAAATGCCTCTGAAACTATTTTCTCTTTTTTTAAACATGGATAGAGAAGACTTTGGTTTGGTTTTAAATTGATGCTGAGGCTGCAAAGCCTTTAGTGGTAAATTTGTGTGGCAGGAGTTTCCAGTTGAGSCTGAACATCACAGATTACACGGAGTATTGAACTATTTACTTATTGATTTCCTCTGCCACCCTCACACAAACAGTTTGGTAAATATTATTTGCTGTGTSTACATTTATCTGATGTCCTGTGCCCTTTACTGTTCTAACATTTCGTTGATTTCTGCTACTTTCCCACTTGCAGACAAATGAAGTGACCAACAGGAGAAAATGTCATCATTCCAGGTGGTGGACTCATCGCCTGGCAGCAGTGTCAGCATCATGGAAACGTCAAACTTTGCCCATGTCATCTTCCAAAATGTGGGGAAGAGTTTTCTACCCCAGGCGCCCTTGGAGTGCCGTTACACCTTGACCCCTTACATTACTCCCCACCCTAAAGACTGGGTGGGCATCTTCAAGGTAACRCTTACACACCTTGTAGAACTGGACTTTATTAATGAGAGTAGTCTTTATATATTAAAATTATAGTAATTACACGTGTGTTATAACACTAATTGTGTGTTAGGGTCTTAATAGTTGCTCAAAAGATTACAGTTAGCACATTAACATCGACATCTGCCCTGACACTAATGGTTCAGCTCTTCACTACACGCCTGAAATCCTACCACAAGCTTTGGTGTGGTTGTTCATGATGCAGAAAAAGGAAGAGTGTACATGGTGGGCTGGCGAGGGAGGGGGAGGGCCCATTTGGCTCTCTTTATAAACCACTCTAAATCTTATTAGAACTTCATCTCACATGTTCGCCTCACTCAGTCTTTCCATCGGCCTTTCCCTCCACTTCCTGACTGCCAGCTCCCCTTCTCTGCTTGTCTCTTTCATCCACGCCATCAAATCTCACACGTAATTAACAGGAAATGTGAGCTAGGAAACTCTGTCTCGTAAAGCCCGAAGACGAGCGTTTTATCGTTGTTTAAGAACCGACTTCAAATCCGCCAGGTCAATTAAAAAGGAATAAAGACGCTGGGTTTTATTTGGAAAAAAGGAGGAGGATTGGAAAATGTAATTATGTTAATCCATGCTAATGAAACTTGTTTGATGGTTAGCGAGCCATGCAAGTAAGCCATGCTTCTTTAATCTTTTTTGACGCACTTGCCTGCCTTTTTTTTTGGCCTTATTTATTTATATATTTTGATAGTTGGTAAAATTAATGAGAATGAACCCGTTCCAGTTGCAAGAAGTCAGTGTTTTTTGTGATTTTTATCAGTTGTGTAAAGAGGAACTTGTTTTTTATTTTGAATGTCAAATAATTGTATGATTTTAATTTAACTTTCTCATTCAGCAAACAAGGAAAAATGTGTTGAATGTGAGGCTTCATTTAATTTCGGAAGCCAAAACGTTTCCTGCCAGAGGCAAAAACTTCTCCTTTTTTTCTTCTTTTTTCTAGCGTGAGAGATGACTCAGGGAGCGAATATTTTCTTCCTCTTGTTGCATCTTCAGGCATGAGCTGAAGGGGAGAAAGACAGAACAGGAAAGCCTGCTCACTGTGCGGATGACTCAGAGCAAGCAGAAACGTTTTGAGTTGTRCACAGACGCCTCCTAGTGGCTGAAAACGTTCATTTCCTGCAGAATGATAGGATTCTAGTTCTGCAAACTTGTGCCTTGACAAGTGTGCCCTCGAGCAGTGCTCACATGTCAAGTATACATAGCAAACACCAGAAGTGTGCGTTCAAAACAAGCTTATCAAGTGTGTGTTTTTCTTGCACGAAGTATGTTTTTTTCATTGCTGTAAAGTTGATTCTTAATTTACGCATGTGTCTTTAACTTTTATCTCTTTTATCACACACAAAACCCCCTAAGACAAAAAACAGAGAGGAAAAAAAAAAAGAAACACAAGGTTGTGGCATGTTGCTTGGTTCGACAGGGAGAAACCCGTTGCGTGAGTCTATAATTAAAGTGTCATCACGTTGTCCCCTCGCACTTCAGCTGAGTGATTGATAGCTGCCTTGCCTGTGATTATTTTATAACATCACTCCTGTGCTGGAATGCCACACTGTGTCTAAGCAAATGTCAGTCAACTTCACTCTGCAATTAGTCCAATTATTGATGTCTTTTCTGTCTTAAGCAAACACGCATGACCACACAAGCAAAGTTTGGCAGGAGGCCGCCGGAGCCGGGCTCCCCGCCTTGCCTCGCTGTCCTGCTGTTGGAGGCGGAAAGAATGTTCTTGGCCTGGTTGTCTTGTTGACTAACGATTACCCTTTTGTTTTTTAACAGCATTACGATCAGTGTAACGGCTCGATGGAGGAGCGGTCAGGGAGAAACTGCARTTTATTGTGTTATGAAACTTGGAAATTTTGACAAAGGTTTTGAGTAGCTCGGACCATTAACACCTAGAGCTTCAAAAAGCTGTTTCTGCTCTGATTCTTTATTTAAATTAATCAAAATGCTTAAAAAAAAGTTATTGCGTATTTTAACAAATCTGGTGTTTAATTATTTTTTAATTTAAAAATAGGCTTGTTTTTGGTGTTTTGTGCAGTCTATTATTTCCTGTGTTATATAATAAAGAAAGCGCCAACTTTGTAATTGATATGATGACTGTGTGGCAGAGTTCCAGAAAAAGCAGTTTGTTACTGACATCTCTTTTCTCATTTTCTTACACCTCATTGCACAACATGCGGTTAAGTTTGTGTGTGTGTGTGTGTGTGTGTGTGTGTGTGTGTGTGTGTGTGTGTGTGTGTGTGTGNGTGTGTGTGTGTGTGTGTGTGTGTGTGTGTGTGTGTGTGTGTGGCTTAGCCAGGGAAAGATTCAAGACCTTTTACAATCTGTCACTTGAAATTCAAATAAGTCCCTTGTCATCCTATGTAAAATTGACACCTTTCTCCCTACCTGTCCTACTTATATATAACACTTTATTTTTTTTGTTTTCATTTGATTTTGGCTGCTCACATGTGGACACAGATTAAACCCTTACCCACCAACCCACCCATTTATCACACCTCACTATGCTTTTTTTTTTTTAGTTCAAAAGAAGCAGAGATTAAGAGGGAGGAATGTGGTTTTAAATGTTTCCATTCTTGTTTTGAGTCCTTTGGAGTATTTTTTTTTTTTTTCGTTAGTTTGTGCGCCAAACAGAATTGTGTTTAATTAAGTCCACTCTCAATTTAGGCCATATATTTCATGCTAAATTATTTGTTTGTTTCCACTGTCCTCTTTAGGTGGGTTGGAGCACAGCCAGAGATTACTACACCTTCCTTTGGTCTCCAATGCCGGAAAATTACGAACCAGGAACTACTGTGCACAGGACTGTGGTGTTTCAAGGTACACACACTCACACACACACACACACTATGTGAACCACTATACAGAGCCAGGGTATTCCAAAGTTACTCCTCTGTTTTACGGTGCACATAAAAACCAGCACTTTTATTTAATAAGGCAACACAACCGCAAACGACGGCCTGGGACCTGAGCACCTCTCATGCCACACACGTATTCATGCGCACACTTAAAGCTGAGGGTCTGCAAACTGGTTTTACTGGACCTGGAATGGTCAAATATTACACAGTGAAAATACGAGAGCACGTTGTGGTGTGTTAGGAGTCAGTAAAACTGGTTTGCTGCTGGATCTGCTGTACTTACCCCCCCACCCCCTCGCATGTCTGAATACGGCGCTCTAGTTCAGAGGAAACGCGGGCTGCCTGACTTATCAGCATAAACAAAGGATCTGTTCAAGGAGCTTTAATGTAAAAAAACAAAAAAAGGTGAGATTTCCCACAAAAACCTGTTTTTTTTTTTCTTTCTGCTTTAGGTTATTACGTTCCGAAGTCAGATGGGGAATTCTACCAGTTCTGTTATGTCACTCACACGGGCGACATCAGAGGAGCCAGCACGCCTTTCCAGTTCAGACCGGCTACACCCACCGAAGAGCTGCTGACTGTTACTGAGGATGACAGCAACTCAGACATACTGGTTGTTACCACCAAAACTGGCTTACTGGAGGTAGGCCACGAAAAAAACAAAACAAAAAAAAAACAACATCTTTAGAAGCTATGGTGTCACGACACACAAGGACACTCAAGAAATGTACGTTTTTTTTGTCTCCTTCCGTCCGACAGCGTGTGGAGGAGGCACAGCAGGAGCGTAGGGAGCTGCTGAAGGCTATGCGCCTCCTACAGGAGGAGAAACAGCAGCTGCAGGAGGAGCAGAAACGACTGGCCAGGGAAAGGGAGCAGGAGAGGGAAACGTGTTGCCTTCTGCGAACACACAACCAGGTTAGAGAGAGGAGGAGCTGTGAGCTGAAGTTTCCCCATATCCAACATAACATTAATATTTAGCTTTTATTAAAGGGGACATATCATGCAAAATCCACTTCTTTAGCTATTAAATATATTTTGTTGTGTACTTGGAATCTCTAGGAGTGCAGAGAAGTAAAAATTTGTTTAGATATTTTTATATTCATTTTGGGTCAAATTTTTCAACCCGTTCAAGTGTTCTCTGTTTTTAAATGACGTTTTCTGAACTATTACGTCACAGTTTTTGCGACAGAATTTCTAAATAAGATCTGGACTTACCAACTACAATTTGGTGGTCTTCATTCTCCTCTCTGTCTGGGTCAGACTCTGGACAAGTCTAGTTGTTGACATCTTTTAATTCTGCAYAGCTATATAGTCGTAAACCCCTCTATCAAACTAGGAGCTGGAGGGGGGCGGGGTGTGATGCACCTCGTTTGGTTTTAAAGAAACAGCCTCAAAACGAGTTGCTTTGAGATGARCTTTAGAAAAGTGGTGAAAGAGGGSTTTGTGGAGTTACAATAAGGAGGAATTCAGACCACTTTATATAGACTCCAACTGATTTAAATGTGATAAAGAATGGTTTAAAAGCAGGATGTGTCTCCTTTTAATAAGCTTTTGTTGAGACCTTGAGGCTGAAGGTGAGACAGTTTCAGTCTCACTGTGTACACTTTGATTTGTCCACAAACACACATGGAGCCGGTTCCTCATCAACGATCACAGCTCCGAGAACTTCAAAGGGCCACGCTTCTGTATAATCCGTGTCCGTGTTTGTCAGACGCACGGAAAAAGCTGCCTGGTGTGCGCTTTTTCTGCGCGCACGCCAGCCTCTCGCCGCCTCCTTTTTTTAACGACCTGACTCAGTGAGCCAGAACGGAATTGGGACGCAGCTTTCCCGGGCATCTGGCGTCAGGGACGATGCCATCGCGACCGCAGGGCGAACAAACATGACGTCAAACACGCCGCGCCGCGCTCACATTCGGGTGGTGCGCCACGGGGGCCCCCCCCCCCCCCTTGTTGTGCCTCCGCATGTGCACAAACACTCCCAAACACACTCATTATGCCACCCGCTTGCAAAGCCGTTTAGTCTGCATGTGTGTGTGTGTGTGTGTGTGTGTGTGTGTGTGTGGAATGACAGGAGGGTTGTCCACAAAACCGCCTTTATGAAAAAAAGAGCCCTGCCCAGCCTCAGGGACAAACACCACTCAGTCACGCGATTCAGTGGCCACTGCTTTCTCCCAGTTTGCTGTTTGTTCGCTTTCTGTTTTGGCGTTTCGAGTTACTTTATAAGCATTAAAAAAAAAACATTGCGAAATGAAGATTAATTGCATAAAAACATCACTGAATCAGATGAATGAGTAAACCTGGATGTTTATTTAATTTTTCTCTCTCACCAGGATGACTCATATTCAGATTGGTGTGTTTTATGCATTGCTCATTTTAATAGCTTGACACACACCGCTTAAAGCGTTTAACTCAAGCCCAAGTAGAGGGGAGTTGGCAAAGGGGGAGAAAATCCTGCTGCTTGCCAAGAGTTTTAGGTTTAAACCAGTCTCACATCGCCCCCTAGTGCYGCTTTAAATCAGTGAAAATCAGGCTGCTTTCTGATCTTTTTATGAAGGAGAAAAAAAAAATTGCCATAAATTAAATACTAATACACACGCTGTTATTACCACGGTGCTTTTCATTCAACAGGCATGTCCATTGTGTATATACGACTTGTGTGTGTGTGTGTGTGTGTGTGTGTGTTGTAGAGTATTTACAGAGGGTGCGTCAACTTGTGGCCCTCTGATGGAAAGATCCTTTTGACTTTAACATGAAAACATAAGTACATATTTCGTGGCTGTTAATTTTATGACTACACTTTTTATAAGGTCTTTATGCACTGCTAAAGTGCTTCCCAAATGCCAGCCGTAAAAAAAAAAAAATCATACAGCAAATCCACGCAGAGCCAAGCCCAGAGGGAGACAGGCCTGAGTGAAGTTAYGATTTTTGCTTTTATCTGATTGTCTATATGTCCGTTTCAATGTGCAGCTTATTATTTTTGCCTCTGTATGCGTGTGTRAGAAGTAAGCACTTTTGGTGCCTGTTGTGAACAGAACAAGGTGTGAGCAGAAGGTATGCTGTTCTGTCACATCTAATATTAGCTATAGATGATTTAACATCATCCAGGGCTGATGAGCAGCAAGTTGAAACAAAAACGTTTCCTCAGCAGGCTCACACCATGTACAGAAACACACCACACCACTGAGAAATCAGTAACCTTTCCTTTTTTTTTCTTTTCTTTTTCTTTTGCATGCTCTGGCCTCAAACAACAACCTTTTGTTCAGTTAGTGCTGCAGAATTCAGTAACATGAAAACACTGAGTTTGGTTTTTGTATTAGTTCAAAAAACCTCACGGTTTATAATTTGTACTTGGTGATTTACGAGCGATAAGATAAAGCTTTACAAATGCCCTGAGGGCGAAATCGTATATCACAGCTGCTCCTGAGACATGACTTTAAGCGTGGCTAAATATAGAAAAAAACATAATGTTGAAGAAACATTTTTACTAATGAGCATGCACAGAAAAAAATGTGGATTTTTTAAACAGAAACTGAACCAAAGAAGGTTTGCTTGTTTTTTTTTTGTTTTTGT